CTGGCCACAGGACCTCGACGGGACCTCAACCGGATGTCTGATCTCACAGTCGCGCGTTAGTTTGCCCCGGGGCAAATAGCCACGCTCCCCCCCGCATTTTCCAGCCCGTGTGCCCGGGGCCCTACTTCTTGTCCTTGGACAATTAAAGTAATGACTTTAATTGATAAATAATGCTGTATAGATTTTCTTTACTTTACAAAACTATATACAGCCATGTCTCAGCCTGTTGGGAAGACTGTAGGCACTGTTTTTGGGTTCTGCCATCACCCAGAAAAGCCAGAAGTCTGACCCTACCTGACAGTTCAACAGCCATTTCACCAGTTGCTGTTAAGAAGTAATGCTATTTAATGCATTTTTTGCAAGTAACTGAGAGAAATTTTAAAGCTGAAAAGTTAAATACAATAAATAATATAAATAAATATAAATAAAGTATAATATAAATTAAAGTTAAAATCGGTGATGATCAGATACCTGCCTGTGGGGTAAAAGCTGCAAATGTTGATAGTCACAATAATGCCCATTATTGCTGCCAATCAACAATCCTTACTGCCTATACACCAGCATAAATTAGCAACATCCTGAGCTGTCATCTCGTAATAGACAGATGAGAATACTGATGCTTGCCTACAGATGTTTGTCTTCTTTTGGATTTTCATGGCTCATGAAAGCCTGTGCTTGATGGAAACTCATAGCTTTCTTTGGCATAAAAGACTGATTCTTATATAGAATTAGTGTAGCATATAAGGGCAAGGGAACACCCAGCTAAGAGCCAGTATTATAAGACAAGAGCAGAAAAAGCATGTATCCAAAATGGGGATCATGGAGAGAGCCTTCCTTAATAGCTTTATGAAAACATAATGGGAAACCAATTAAGGGTATGCAGCACTTGCCAGAATAAGGAACCTGCCACATTATTAGCATAAAGTGAATGAACAAAACATACAGCTATCGGCCTATTTCTGAACAAGTCTTTGTCAACACATATTAATAGTCTGACAAGTTATTAAGAGATTGTCTGCATCAAGGGTAAGGATGCAACCAAAATCTTGAATTCAGTATCAAATGTTGAGATTTGCTATGGCAGTGCCCCCAACAAATTGAACTCAGGACTTAGGTGGGTTTATGAGTCTTGGAGTTTCCCTAGGCTTAGCTGTACATTCAGGCTCCTGGTATCACTGTAGCTGCTACAGAATCACAAACTTGACACCGCACTCTGGTTTCCCCACTTAGAAAACCTTCCATTTTAGGGCCTTAGATACATGTTACAATCTGAAGGGTGTTTTGTTAGAAGTAAGTCACAGAAACATATAGCAGGCTATACAACATAGGATCTTGTGATAATATCCTGTTGAACAATTAAGATTGGAGTAGTTCTCCCCTTCTGAAACACGCTACTGTTAATGTCTGCAATCAGTTGCTTATCACCATGAATGATAGTTGTAATGGTGAATGGGACACCCATCAGGATTGCATTGATCTTTGCACTTTGTCAGATGATGTGACATCTGCTGAGTTGGGCAACACAGTAAAGGCATATAAATGTGTGAGCTAGTATTTGTCTTGCTGTATGTTACAAGACAAAATCTTGCCAGGTGATTCCGTATCAGGAATGTGGAAGTCAACCCACAGTCTTTGGAATTTGGGGTGGCAGTTATGAAATAATAAGTGAAAGCATACATTTTAATGTACGGTGTAAATTCAATCCACACACATTTGCAGCATTCAGAGGCATTTGTTTCCAGGCTAGAGAACAAGTAATGGAACCACTTCCACATTAATTAGAATGTCTTCACTAAGGAACATTTTCGTGCATATATAAGTGAACATAAGAACACAGGCTTGTAGCCAGGATTTTTTATTTCAGGGGTCTTAAAATAAGTTAGGGGACACTGATAAAATAAAAACAAAATAAACTCATGCTCGCCAGTTGGAACAGGATTTTTCCCCTATAGTGGACAGTGGGTATAAGTGGAAGTCACTGACCCTGAGTTCATTAAAGATTTAAACAGTTCACAGCTTCTAAAGCCAGTCTGGTGGCAGCCCCTGTGGCTCCCTCCTAGCTGCAGGCCATCCATGGGAAGCCAAAAAAGCTGACCCCACTGTCCCCACCTCACCTGCCAGCCTTACACCATTTCCTGCCATGGCCACCCCGTGGGACCCACAGCCCCTCCCCCCCCCCAACCACCAGCCTGGGATGGAGTTGGCGGGGCTGCTGGCAGGTGGGGAAGTTGTGGGGCCTTGACAGGAAGTTGTGGGACGGGCCCTGAACAATGTTCCCTCTAAGCTGTGGAGTCTCGTGAGCAAAAATTCTACTTTGTGAGCGACTGGTGTAAAAGTTGTGAGTGAGCGATTTGACTACTGCATGCATTAGCTTGCTCTGGAGCCCTCCTTCCTGAGCTAAGACAAAAATGTGTGAGCCAGAAGCTAAAAAGCTGTGAGCTAGCTCACACTAACTCAGCTTAGAGGGA